GACAAAAAGGCGCGCAGGAGGCTGCGCCGGTCGCTGGGCGTCTTGAGGTCGGCGTGCGACGTCGAGAGCCGGATCGGCCACCCGGGGTCGGAGATGTGCGCCGGGTCGATGTGGTGCGGCCGCCGCTCGACGCCGTGCCTCGCCCACGCCTTGTCGACGAGGACGATCCGCTCAACCTGCACGGCGTCGGTGGAGAGGCGGCTAGACGTGGGGCGCGTAAACACCACTGAATTTTTGGCGAACCTTGTCCGGCGGCAGCAGCTCGGAGAGGAACATGGCCATGTACCCAAACCCAGAGCAAAGGTCGATCACGACGACCCGCGCACCTCCCTCCAACTTCACCGACTGCGCCTCGAGCCTCGCACGCTCCAGCACCGGCGCCGCCTCAGCGAGTTCCTTTGCCAACCGGCTGCCACGCCGCATCCGGTTCCACAGCGCCTTGCGGCCCCAGAAGCGCGTCCGCCAGCGAGCGGCGATCGCGCAGCACTCGTCTAGCAGCGCGCCGTGCGTGGCATAGGCGGGGCACGCACGCAGCTCCGCATGCAGCCAAGAGCACCACTCCTCGTTGGATATGGCGGTGACGGCGGCCTCGTCGTCGTCGCTGCCGTGGCCGTGCGGCGACATGAATCTGTAGCTGCGACCCTGCGACCCGCAAACCCAAAGTGCGAGCCCCGCACCCAAGTGCGAGCCCGCACCGCGGAAAAAGAAAATAACCCGGGGGGCCTCAGCGGAGCTGGGAATAGGACCGCCGCAAGCGGCGTGGCGTGGAGCGGTTGAGCATCCCTCCGGGGGCCCCTCTGCGCCGGGGAGGCGTTGTTGGAGGCTAGGACGCAAGCGTCCGTCGCCCTTTTCAAACTCGGGGCGGCCCACTCCGCTACGCTCCGACCCGAATTTGGAGGGCCTAAAAGTTTAAGGTGTTGCTGCGCAAAAGGGGTCGGACACACAGGGCGCAGCTCATGCTAAGAGCTAGAAGGGGAGCTAGAGAGAACGACTACCCTGTCCCGTTATTGCGTACACCAACACCACAAAAGCTCTCTCTCTCCTGTCCTCACTCAGGGGGGTGCCACAACTACCCCGAGTCCCTCGACTAGCTGCCACGTTGCCGACCGAGAGCGGATCTCCTCCTGCTCCGCAAGGAGGGTGGCCAAGGCTAAAGTCTTGCCGGAGCCGCCAGGCGCGTTGACGACTTGGAGAAGGTCGCCCTTGTACTTGTGCTTGTAGAGATGCTCGAGGGGGTGCAACCTGTGTCACCCGGAATCCATAGTGTCACTCTTATGGATTTGAAATGTCAAATTTGCAGCAAATTTGCACGCAAACTTGTCATTTTGCGAGCAAATAAGATACAAACATCACACCGCGTGCGCCCCCGCCGGCGTGGGAGTGGCCGCACCGCGTGCTGGGTGTGCCGTGTCGCGCGGTGTGCAACACTCCCCCGTGACCACGTCCACGATAGCCCCGCGCTGCCCCCCCCCCCGGGGGGGCGCGGTTAGCTCGGTTGACGACCCGAACATTCGCACGTGGAGTGTGTGTGTGTGGCACTCTAAGGATGTTTATCTGCGCACATGTGTGCGTAATTTGGCAATATTTTGAACAGAGAGCCCACTCGAGTAGCGCACTAGAGGCCAGGCATCCCCAGGAGGCGGGAGAGCGAGATCGCCCAAACCATCGTGAGGCGGGAGCGGCGAGAGCGACGACGGCTTGGACGTCGGCTTGGACGTCGGCGGCACGGCGATGATCAACGTGCGGTGGCGGAGGCGATGTGGCCAGAATGAACGCGGTGGCAACGGCACCTATGAAAGCTAAGACGCAGCGGCATGATCGGTGGCAGGTGGGGCGGTTGCGACGTGGCACAGTGGTAGCGATGATGATGGCCGTGGCGAGGGGGTGGGAAGTGGACACAGCGGGTGCAAGAAACGAGCCGTCTTGAAGTACCTTAAGGTATTGGTGAATGAGGCAGTCGTGTCCGCGACCCAGAAGTTTTGGTGAATGACGCCAGCGAGGCTTGAGGAATGAGCCTCGGCTCCAAGTGCGGAGCGGTCGCGCCACTGGCAAATGTTGCAATGCAGCAGTGGCGAAAGCGAAGGCAGCGTAGCTGCACCGAAGGCAGAGATAGCAACAGCGGCGTGAAATGTCACGGCACAAACGATCAGCAGCGGGTGCATGCGTGATGGCAGCCAGCACGCTGAGATGCACAACACACCTGTGATCTATCGTTTGCAGCAGCGTGATACCAATGTAGTGGTGGTGACGGCTGCCTCCGTGGGAGAAGCAAGTCTGCAGAGGCTGCTGGGTACTATTAGCGCAGTCCGAGCTGCCGATGGCGACTCGTGGTGGCGCGGCTTTTGGCCCGGCGGAGATTGCAGCCAGCGCGATGAATGGACCCTGCGGGGAGGCGAGGAGACGGGCGAGCTGCGACGGCCGAGGAGGCCTGAGCCGCTGCGGACAGAGGCCTGCACGCGACCGGCGTCATCGTCAAACCAAGTTTGACGCTCCGGTGCGCATTTTTGACGCTTCAGAGCGCATTTATGACGCTTCAGGGCACATTTTTGACGCTTCAGAGCGCATTTTTGACGCTTCAGGGCGCATTTTTGACGCTTCAGAGCGCAGTTTTGACGCTTCAGTGCGCAGTTTTGACGCTTCGGTCCTGTTTCGGCGCGGCGGAAGGCGCCTACTCCCGTGGCAGCTTACATAGGGCTCGCCCATGCTCTCGCGCTGTCGCTGCTTGCGTGGTTGATTGTGCCGGCACTCTGCCGCAGGCGCGGCGATGGCATTGGTTGATTGACGGCAATGGCAGTAGCGATGGCAATGGCAGTGGTGGAGGAGGGAGTGGAGGAGGAGTGCAGACAGCAGCCACGATAGATGAAGTCAGATATCGCATAATAATCTCATAGGCGCTGCAAGTTTGCCTGGTGAGAGGCAATGACGTCGTGCGCAATGCGGAGAAGGCATGAGGCAATGCAGAACGCAAGAGGGGAATGCATGCGACGGCGCAGCGGCGCAGGTAAATGCGGAGCGTAAAACCGCGCGCTGGCGGCGTCACAAACGGCGCCAGACGCAGGAGCAGCACGATGGACACAAGGACATAGGTGGTAGTGCACCGCTGTGCCGTTGCAAAGGCCGCATCCTGCCCTCGTGCGTCGTGGTACAGAGGCGCGTCGTGGTGCCCACATTTGTAGGTGCAAGCTGAACCACTCTTCACCGGGTGATGCGATGGGCGAGTATGCCGCCTCTTTATCGCGTGCACACCCTTCGCCACCGCGGGCTCCATGCGGCAGTTTATCATGAGTCGAGCCAAGGAGGCTAGGCCTCGATTCATCGACTACTACGACCCGACGCCGGCTGGACTGGCTCGGGCATATCAGCAGGGTGAACTCCAATCGCCTCCTCGTCGCATGCTCTCGTCGTAGCTCATGGGTGCCCCCCACGACCGGCCGATCGGATGCCCCAACATGTCGTACGGGCGCTGCATCCGCAGCGCCCGTCGACCGCTCGAGGTGGCCCGAACTCGAGGCCCGAGATCGCCGCCGATCGCTCCACTTGGCGCCAGACGCTGCATGACAGGCGTCGGCCCGACGCCTTATTTGCTATGTTAGAGAGGAAAGCCGCCCTCCCTGCGTATCGCGCGCACTAAACCAGAGAGCACGGCGAGGACAATGCGGCTATGGACACCACGCTACGGGCGCTTGCGAGGTCGTGAGCGATGTGATCACACCTCGCTCGACCGAGATTCGGCTCGCTATACTGTTGCCTCTGCACAACCCTCTCCTGAGATCGCACAGAAGTGAACGCCTCGTGTGCGTCTGCCCCGTGTTTCTGCGTGTGCGTGTGCCCCGTATGTTTCTTGTGCGTGTGCGTGTGTGCCCCGTGTTTCTGCGTGTGCGTGTGCTCAGACGTGTGTGAGACTGAAAATTGCTCATGCACCGCCGCTTGATTTCCCTACGCCAAAACAGGAAAGGGCGACGGATTAGTTGAGGTTGCGAGTACGGCAGCTATTGCGAGCTGGCGCGTCTACGGCATTGCGTGCGACACAAGGTGAAGGTGCGCGCGGTGTGCGACGAGGTCAATGGATCGGATTCCGTCCTCAGACAAGCGAGGGCTCACGATGAGGGCTACTCTTCACCC